TTGGAGGAAAAGGAGGAGGAGGAGGAGGAGGAGGAGGAGGAGGAGGAGGAAGACGAGGAGAAGGTGGAGGAGGAGGAGGAGGAGGAGGAGGAGGAGGAGGAGGAGGAGGAGGAGGAGGAGGAGCAGGAGGAGCAGGAGGAGGAGGTGGAGGAGGGCTTGTTCAGGGCTCCTAGACCGTCAAGCATCGGATGGCCTTCGGCCCATCCCGTCACCGTTTTTTGGCTTGTGGGTCCGAGTTCGCAGGAATGTTTCTTGGGGTCTCGTCGGGGTGCTCTTGGAGACCCATGGTGGGGAAGAGCAGTTTTGAGGCCACTTCGGGGCCACTTGGGAGCCTCTTGGGAGCCTCTCGAGAGCCTTTGGGGGCTTCCTGGGGGCCTCTTGGGTATCTCTTGGGGCGCTTCTTGGGGGCCTCTTGGGGACTTTTCGGGGCCTCGTGGAACCTTCTCGGGCCGTGTTGGAAGCCTGGTGGGCCATCTTGGGACCTTCTTGGGCCGTTTTGGGCCTGATGATGGCCTCTTCGGCCACCTTGGGGCGATCTTGGGGGCCGGCAGTCATGGAGCCGCGGGAATCCGGAAAGGCGAGAAGGCCAGAAGGTCCGAAGGCCAGAGAATTTCAAGGAAAGCCGGTGACTTTTGCTTCGTGGGGCCCTCGTGGGAGGCCTCTTGGAACCCTCTGGGGGCGTGTTAGGGGCATCTTGGGTTGTTTGGAGGCTATCTTGGGTGTCTGGGACCGATCTTTCGGCGATTCGAAACCGTCGGGGACCGTCTTGGGGGCGTCTTGGGGCCCTCGTGGCACGTGTTGGAGCCCTCTATCCCCCCATGGCGCGTTCGAGCGGGGCCGGGGAGGATCAAATTCCCTGTATGGGGTCCTCTGGGGGGGCGTGATTGGGGGCAAGAGTCTCACACGCCTAGAGACCCACAGTGAATCGGCAGATGTTGGTAGTTCGACGGCAACCAGGCCATCCTACGTCTCATGCTGCCGCGCATCTTTGCTGTAGGGAGAGGTCATCGTTGCGTCTGAGTGTTGTCTGGGAGAAACAGCCACTCCTTTCCTTCCCGTGGTGCCCCGAGCGCAGACGCCCACCCCTCGCAGGAGAAGCGTCAGCGCGACAGCGGCAGAGCGCGAGCCGGGTGCTCGGCGTCCGAGGCAGAGGCGGGCGCCGAAGCCGCGCGGAAGCAGGCCAGGAAAGAGCGCCGGAGGGAGAAGAAGGACGGAGCGCGCGCGGTGGGACCGGGCGTGGCGCGTGCGGGAGCCCGCGTGCCAGGAGGCTGGGCTCGTTTGGCGTGGCCCGCCTGGGCGTGAGCAGGGTACACAAGTGGCCACATGCCTTTCCGGCGCTCGGTCCTTGTGTGTGTGTGTGTGTGTGTGTTTGTGCGTCATTGTGTGCGTGATTGTGTGTGTGTGTGTGTGTGTGTGTGTGTGCGCGGCTACCCTGGCTCCGCCGCGCTGCTGCGCGCGTGGCCGCGCCGCCAGACAGTATCTGTGCATGAGTGTGAGTGTGTGTGTGTGTGTGTGTGTGTATGTGTGGGGGTGGTTGTGTGCCTCTGTGTGTGTGTGTGTGTCCGCAACTTTCTTTGGCTCAAGCTGTCTCCTGGGGCATGCCACCCCCCCCTCCCTGGGGTCAGGGCTCGAGCTCGGCCGGCGCGGCCTTGGCGGCGCGGCTGACCTCCGCGCGCTGGCCACCACCGCCGCCGCCTCGCCATGATGCCCCTGGAAGGCCCAGCCGGCCCGCCGGCGCCGGCAGCGGCGGGCGCGCGCCGCGGCGGCTGCTACTGCCGCCAGCGACCCCGCGGGCACCCCTGCCGTCGATGCCGCCGCGGGGGCGCCGGGCGCGCTGGCGTCGTGGGCGAGGCGGCTTCCGCCAGCGCCTCCGGTGCCGCAGCGGCCCCCGCGCTCGCCGCTGGCGCGCCGCGCTCCGCGGCGCCCGGGGCTTCGCGCCGCCTGCGCCAGCGCAGCGGCCCGCGCTGCCGCCGCGGCGGCCTCGGCCTCGGCCGCTATCTCTCCCGCAGCCCCCTCCGCCGTGGCCGCCGCCTTCGTGGCCGCGGCGGCCTGGGCGGCCGCCGTGCTCGCCCTGCGGGCTGCGGCGGCTGGCGGTGCGGGGCCGCCGGCTCCGCCCAGCTGCGTGGCGGAGGAAGTCGCCGGCGGGACGGTGGAGGTGAAGGGGGTCGCCGTCCCCGACGCCGTTCCCGACGCCGCGGCCTGGGACCTCCCCTACCGCCCCCCCGAGGTCCCACCCGACGCCCCACCTGACGCTCTGCCCCACAGGTCCCCCCCCCGACCCCTCGCCTGACGCGCAGCCCGTGCCCAACGCGATCAGCTACAGTTCTGGGATCAGCGAGGGCGAAAGTGGAGAGCAGTGGTTGCGGGCCGCGCCGCTGCTCCGCCAGATGCCAGCCGCGGAGCTGGAGCCCAGCGCGATCAGCTACAGTGCTGGGATCAGCTGGCTGGGCAGCTGCTCAGCGAAAGGCGGGCTGTGAAGTTGGAGCCCAACGCCGTCAAGCCACGGTCCTGGGACCAGCGTGTGCGAGAATGGACAGCAGTGCCAGAGGGCCATGCCGCTGCTCAGCGATAGGCTGGGTCTCAAGTCGGAGCCCAACGCGGTCAGCTACAGTGCTGGGATCAGCGGGCGTGGAGACAGAGGGTAGTGGCAGCGGGCCGCGCCGCTGACATCCGACGCCCAGCCTACCCCTGCGCCCTGCCCGCCGCCTCACCCTCCGCCCAGCCCAACGCCCAGACGTACGCTCAGCCATACGCGTTCCTCGCCGCCCAGCCCTACTATGGCCAGCCCTCCGCCCACCCCGCCGCCCTGCACGACGCCCAGCCCTCCGCCTATCCCGACGCCTCACCCTACGATCGGCCCAACGCGAGCAGCTACAGTGCCAGGATCAGCCATCAGTACGAGAACGGAGAGCAATGGCAGTGGGCCATGTCGCTGCTCAGGACAATGCTGGGTACAAAGTGCGGGCCCGACGCGATCAGCTACAGTGCTGGCAGCAGCGGATGCGAAGTTAGGGCGCAGTGGCAGCGGGCTGTGCCGCTGCTCAGCGATGCGCGGGCGGCCAACGTGATCAGCTACAGTGCTGGGATCGGCGAGTACAAGGAATCCCACGCGATCAGCTGCAGTGCCATGATCAGCGAGGTTGGTCAGGGTGAGCCCAACACGATTAGTTTAAGTGCGGGGATCCGCGAGTGCCAGAATGGGAAGCAGTGGTAGTGGTCGCGGGACTTGCCGCTGCTCCGCGAGGTGCTGGTCTCGGAAACTCTCAGCCCGATGGGATCAGCTACAGCGCTGGGCTCTGTGGGTGCGGAGAGGGGCGGCAGCGGCAGGGGGCCGCGCCGCTGCCATCCGACGCCCGGCCCTGCGCCCAGCCTGGAGCCGTGCCCTGCGCCTCGCCCTGTGCCCAGCCCGACGCCCTGCCGTGCGCCCCAGCCCCACTCGTCCCCAGACGCCCCGCCCCCTGTCCAACGCCACGCTCCTCCCGTCGCTCCGCCCTACCCTTCAGACCCCGTCGCCACACCTGCCGCCCAGCCCGTCATTCGACCCGACACCGTGCCCCGCGACTAGGCTCAGCCCGACGCCCAGCCCAACGCCCAGCTCGAGGCTTTGCCCGACGCTCGGCCCCGCGCCCAGCCTCGTGTCTCACCCGCTTCCCCCGTTCTCGCACGCGAAGCCGGCAAACCCTGGCAGATCCGCGAGGCGAAGCTGGAGCCCGATATGATCAGCCAGAGTTCCGAAATCAGCGAGCGCGAAGTCCGATGCTCCTGTGACGCCGCCCTCAGCGACGACCGCGACGCCGTGCCACGCCCGGGCCGACGCCCCCACCCCTACGCTGTCTCCGGCGCCGCCCCCGACGGCGTTTCCGACGCCGTTCCCTTCCCGACGCTCATACTCCGATGCTGCCTCAGGCCCCGCCCTCGACGAAGGCCGCGACGCCGTGCCGCGCTCAGGCCAGCGCCCCCACGCCGACGCTGCCTCCGACGTCGCACCCGCCCCCGACGACGCTACCGACGCCGTTCCCTCCCGTGCCGCCGCTCTCACTCTGATTTTGCCTCGGGCTCCGCCTCCGACGACGGTGCCGTGCCGCCCCTCGGCCGACGCATCCATCCCGACGCTGTCTCTGGCGCCGCCCCCGACGACGTTTCCGACGCCGTTCCCTCCCCGGGCCGACGCTCCTGCTCCGACGCCGCCTCTGGCCCCGCCCTCGAAGAGGGCCGCGGCGCCGTGCCGCGCCCAGGCCTGCACCCCCAACCCGACGCTGCCCCCGTCGCCGTCCTTCCGACGCCGTTCCCTCCCCGGGCCGTCGCTCTCACTCCGACGCTGCCCCCAGCTCCGCCCCCGACGAGGGCCGCGACTCCCCAGGCCGACGCCCCCACTCCGACGCTGCCTATGACTCTGCCCCCGACAAAGGTTACGACGCCGTTCCTTCCCCAGGCCGAAGCCCCGCTTTGATGACGCCGCGGGCGCCGCTCTGGACGACGTGCACGCCGCCCCATCCCAGGGTCGACTCTTCAATTCCGACGCTGCCTTCGGCCCCGCCCTCGACGAAGGACGCTACGCCGTTCCTGCCCCGGGCCGACGCCCCCATTCCGACGCTGCCTCTGGCGCCGCCCCCGACGACTCCGATGCCGCTCCCTCCCCGGGCCGACGCTTTCACTCCGACGCTGCCTCAGGCGCCGCGCGAGGCGAAGGCCGCGACGCCGTGCCCCGCCTGGGACGCCCCCGCTCCGACGAGGTCTCGGACGCCGCCGCCGACGACGTCGACACTTTCACTCCGATGCTGCCACCGCCTCCGCCCCCAACGACGGCCGCGACCCCGACGCCCCTGGGCCGACGCCCCCTGGCCGACGCCCCCTGGGCCGACGCCCCCACTCCGCCCTCAACGAAGGCCACGACGCCGTGCCACACCCGGGCCGACGGCCCCGCCCCGACGTCGCCGCTGACGCCGCCCCTGACGACGTCGACGCCACCCCCCCAGGACGACGCATTCACTCTGACGCTGCCACCGGCTCCGCCCTCGACGATGGACGCTGCTCCGTACCGCACCTGGGCATACGCCCCCGCCCCGACGCTGCCTTTGACGCCGGCCACGACGACGCAGACGCCACCCCCTCCCCGGGCCCAGGCCCCCACCCCCACAGTGCCTCCGACTCCGCCCTCGACGAAGGCCATGGCGCCGTACCACGCCCAGGCCGACGCCACCACTCCGACGACGCCTCCGTCGCCTCCCCCCCGACGACGTCGACACCGCCCTCTCACCGGGCCGACGCCCCCACGTCGACGCTGCTTTTGACGCCGCCCTTGACGACGGTCCCGACGCCGTGCCTTCGCTGTCCCGACTTTTGCGCTCCGACGCTGCTTCGCACCCCTGCCCCGGAGCGGCAGCCGACGCCGTGACCAACGCCCCCCTCTGGCGTCTCTCGCGATGGCGAGCCGTGCGCCGGCTGGAGCCTTCACCACTCCTTCGCTCCTCTGTGGCTGCCCGACGCGGCCCCTCGCGCTGGGGCCTCTTCCCCCGACCCCTGGCCGCCCGCCTCGGGTAATCAGCGTGCTCCCCGTGCGTCGCCCATGTCTGTTGCTCAGCAGACTGGCGTCACCCCGGGGCCAGCCCCGTGCGCCGTCCGGACTCCCCCCCCGCTGAGCTCCTCGCACCCTTCGCACGTCACCTTCCCCCGTCCCCGCGCCCACCCGTCTCGACGCCGGTTGGTGGCTCTCCGACCCCCCCCCCGCCCGACCCCGCGTCCGCCCCCCCCACCCCCACCCCTCCATCGCGGGGTCGAGACGTGCAAGACCTGGAGGGAGCTGGAACGCTGCGTCTTCAGCTGCTGTGTAGGAATCCCTACAGGAGTCTCTCTCCACGAGGACGGACACCAGGATCCGCAGGCGCGAATGGGAGCCTCGGCGGAAGCCGGCGCCCCCAGCGCGCCGTGAAGAGCGGGCGCGCGGATCGTCCTGGACCCGCTGAGCTGGGCCCACCCCCTCCTTTCTCCCCCGACGCCTCTGTGTTGTGCCTCTCTTCCTCCCCTCCTGGCCTCTCTCCTCGGTTGGCTGCTTCACCTCTTCGTGTCTTTCCTTGCCCTTGTGGTGTGCGGTGCCTCCTCCCTCCCCCTCGGCTTCCCCTCCTCCGTCGGTCGGCCTGTTGCCCCTCACGTCCGCCTGTCTGTCTCCCTTGGCTGTTTGCTGTCGCTCCTGGCTCCTCGCTTCTCTCTCT